GGTTTATGCGGCTAAACACTAAAGTGTTTTGAGCTTATGAACACCGCTGCCGCTTCTGACGGCGAGAGGAAAGGGTTTGCCTGTGGCGGTCTAACCCATATTTACACATATACATAAATCTACTAAATAATGTAGTTCAAAAATGATACCAACGAAGGGAGAAGAATCAAACATTCAGACCAAAAACAAATAGATAGGATAGGATGACGATGGAGAACTCAGCCACCACTTTGGCTCCTTTTCTTCTTCAGAATTTGATAACCTCTATTGGGCTTTTCTTTGGAGCTAAAAGATTACAGATCAATCGGATATCTAGAAACAGTGAGAAAGACATCGAACATTCGAGACCTACCTTCTCCATGCCTACAGATATGGAATACATTCTCTACTAAAGCCATCGTTGATTACCAATCTCAAAAGCCTTCTCATCAGTATTCCAATATTGGTTTCATATTCTGTAATCAACATCCAAGTTTCTATCAAGTCCAGCATTTCTAAGCTAAAGACAAGAACACCAAAGAAGAATGTCGCTCATTTCTAACATCTTCGGTGAACGACGAAGCAACATCTTCAACCCATTTTCTCTGGATATTTGGGACCCCTTCAAGGGCTTCCCTTTCAGCACAACCCTCAGCTCTGTGCCCAATTCGGCTCGAAAAACCTTTGCCTTCGTCAATGCCCGCATCGATTGGAAGGAAACCCCCGAAGCACACGTATTCAAGGCTGATCTTCCAGGACTGAAGAAGGAAGAAGTGAAGGTGGAAGTAAAGGAGGGAAGGGTCCTGCAGATTAGTGGAGAGAGGAGCAGGGAGCATGAAGAAAATGACAAATGGAACCGGGTGGAGAGGAGCAGCAACAAGTTTTTGAGGCAATTCAGATTGTCGGAAAATGCAAAGATGGAAATCTCAGATTTGTTGATCTGGGGATTTTTGGAAATCTCAGATTCTCAAAAAAATAAAAAAAAAAGATTTCTCAAAAATTTTCATCATCCGGGTTGAAGAGGAATGCAAAGCGGGGTCTTGACTTATTGGTCTTGCCGTTGAGGATGATGCCGCTGCAACCCATGGAGGGTTTGCACGATGCAGGTCCTCCTTTGTTCTTGAAGAAGACCTATGATATGGTCAAGGACCTGGCAACCAACTCAATTGTCTTCTGGAGCAAAGCTTGCAATAGCTTCATTTTTTGGGATTCCCACAAATTCTCGACCAATCTCCTTCCCAAATATTTTGCGGAGAACACTAGAAGTGTTATGAGCTTAGGAATACCACCGCCCTACAACAGGGTTTATGACAGCGAGAGGAAAGAGGCTACTGGTGGCGGTCTAACCAAAGCGGCGAACAGTAGAGAAAGAGGGAGGGAGTGGACTGAACCCAACAGGAAAAAGAAGGGGAGAGAGGATGAGGGTGAGGGAGGTGGAGGGTAAAATTGGATTTTAAAATATATATATCACGTGTGAATGAATTTTGACGAATATTAATGGATTTTAGCAGTAAGGTAGAGTTAGTCAAATATCGAAAATAGTAAGGATAGCATTAGTCAATTTCCAAACAGTTTAAAATTTTTTTCCTAAAATAAAATTATCTCTAATTTCATTCTTATCCCATTTACCAAAGAAAAACTCATCCCTATCCCCAAGAATTAAGGGACTCTAATTTTTGGAAAATACAAAATAACATCAAATACAAAAACTTTAATAAAAATACTTGGGCTACAATTAGCAATAGAGCTGCAACCAAATTATCAGGTTTTTGGGATATATCATACCAAATTATCAGGTTTTTGGGATATATTATACCTCCGCGGATTTTGCTCGGCTTCGGAGGCTACTAATATAGCCGCAATCCTCTTCAGCTTCAAGGAGCAGGGTGTAAGCTAATTTGGCTTTTTCGAAGAATAGGGAGTATGGTGTTAAATCAGGTTATCTGGTTGCAAGAAGTGCCTTTCAAGATAGCAACAGATCCTGTTCGGCTCGTCATAATCATATACAGAATAAGATGAGAAAAAAGTATGGATAGTTGCAGTTCCATAAAAAAAAAATAGGAATAAGTGGACTGCAGTCCATTTCAGAAATCTGAATTGTAGCCCTGCCTGTGAATTTGGCATTAAATCATGAGCAGGATTCAGTCTATTCCTATAAATTTTAATTCCACCCTGGGGTCGATTGAACTATAAAAAGTCCCAAAATTAAGGTAATATTTAATTTGATCAATACAAATTTTATGAATATATATATATATATATATATTCTTTAAATGCTTTGAGTTATCAATTTAATATTGGGTATTATTGCAATTTCTTCAAGAAAGTCAAATTTGGTGTTTCTAAAATCAACGACACCTAATCCCATCCCTATATATTTTTTAATGAAGGTGGTTATATGATGTGACAAGAAAATTACTCATAAAATTTGTATTTACCAATACAAATATTTGCAATTATAATGGGGTATAAAATACAAATAAGGGCATGTTTGTTTGCTCTAAGAGAAAACGATTGCAACAAAAACTCCCGATTTCTTAAATACCCTTTATCTTATCCGATCTGAATCTTTGTTCATTTTAATGAGAAGCTCATTGAATCTAAGTTTTTCTCTGATAGAATCAAATGGATCAATGAAACTGTTGAGTTTCGATTGCTGAGGGATGGAAATGGTTAGGGAACTCACACGGCTTCCCTGAGAGAGAGAGATAACGGGAAAGAGCGGCCGTTGCAACTTGCAACAGCGATGGCGGAACAGGGGAAGTGAAATGGGAGGGGTTAGAGAGAGAGAGAGGGAAAGAGCGGCCGTTGCAACTTGCAACAGCGATGACGGAACAGGGGAAGTGAAATGGGAGGGGATAGAGAGAGAGACGCTGTAACGACTTCGACTGCTGCAAGTAGACACACATTCAAGACGAGCATAAGCTGGGCGATTACCAAATCCGCCACTGCAACTTGTTACTGCTCGAGTTTGTGATTTTTTCAAATTTTCATCATTTTTCTTCCTTTCCTTTAGTTTTTTTGTCCATCCTTCTCTCTTCCCTCTTATCTCCTCCGTTTTCTTCCTTTCCCTTAGTTTTTTGTCCATCCTTCTCATCCCCTCTTCTCTCATTCCTCTCTCCGTCATCTCTGTATCCGATTGGGCTAACTCTCTAGCTGCTCCTCTTTCTCTCTGTATATATATAATCCGTTGGATACAACACTGGACCTAGGCAGTGAGATTCATGGCGGCCAATTCTTCTAGATTTTCTCTTCCAGGCTGAACGTCTGACAATGAGATTCATGGCATGGCAGATGATCCTAATGAGGGGAAGGGATGGGTGAAGAAGATCACCGATCCATGAAGACCAGACTGGACCTGTGTGGCAAAGACCACAAGTTTCCAATTTGATTTAAGGGCAAAATGGACATTTCGGACCTTTGTCAATATTTTAATGGCAATGATGATATATTATTAGACAATAATCAAACACTAGGGGTAGAATTAGTCAATTTCTAAAAGCTTAGGTGTAGTTTAAGAAATTTACCCCAAAACAACCTTTTTATAATCCATACCACCTCAAAATTGAGAAATTATTTCTCTATTTATTCCCAGCTCCCCTTCAATTGATAACCTTTATATTTTCCCCCTTTAAAAAGGGATTTTTAGACTGYACTCTACCTTTGAATTCTGATTTACAGCCCCCTCCTAGTCTATTAATCGCCCCCTTATAAACTTCATCCTGCCCATAAATTTGGCATCAATGCACAACCTACTGGTTTTTGAACTGTAAAAACCTAATAGAGACTAGGAGGGGGTTGCAATTTCAAATTTCTGAGATGGATTACAGTCTATTATTCCAAAATAAAATCTGAAACATATTTATGAGATGAATTAGTATCGATTCCAAACTGACACCTACCCCAACTTAACTTTATGTCCATGAATTCTGCCACTGGACTGAACGGTCATTCTCCAAAGAAAAAAAAAAAGGGTAATATAGATATTAGTGCCTTCCCGTCGAGAGATAACGGCGTTGCGGCGTTGTTCAAAACAAGGTACGTATTACTTTTACCTTTCGCATTATCTGATTATAAACGGGTCGAATTCGAATATCGAGAAATGGATAGCGGGTTACCGTTTCTATCTGCAGCCCTACATGTAAGAGAAGGACAACGGCACATGGGAGAACAGTACAGATACAGACTGCAGGCTATGGACATCAATGGCAGAGCTGCAGCGGCGCAGTTGCCCTGGCTTCCCTGCCATCAGCATCTTGATTCTTGCAGTACTCCTATTAAATCAGGATTTCGTCCTCACAAAAAATGTCCTCACACTGTTCTCACAACACTTCACAGCTATGCATTGAGAACGTCTTGCACGGTTGCAAATGTTTCAAGAACGGCGTGAGGACCGTTTTTGTAAACACGAAATCCGATCTTCCCTTTCCCTCTCTCACACGAAAAAATGAGGGAACTGCCAATGCGCCGTAACGACGAATAAAGCGATTACTCATACGTCCTTGTTACGTACTTGTATTAATACAAGTATTTTTCTCCCTTACAAAACATAAAAGCGTAAGGTATTTGTTGGATTTCACAACACTTACGATGCCTGCCATCAAAACCAAGTCCCACGTCCTTTCAAAACTTACATCAATTCCCAAGAAAACCAAGAGAGCAAATCACATCGAAACCTTTCCCACCTACTTACTACCCTATCCTATCATCAGGATCAATTTATAGAATTATAGTCCTTGTCCTAATAATTTTATTTATTTTGGAAAAAATCCAAAAATTTAACAAGATCAGTAGTAATCCTCTGATTCCTCTCGTTCTGAACCGTAGGATTCGAACTCGCTTGCCCCGTTACCTGTCTCTTTCGTTTTTTTTTTTTTTTTCAATTTTCATTTCTAAAAGAGAAAGAAAACATGAAACTGTGAAAGAAGTGAGTTGCAACGGATTTCATCATGCGAGACATGGTATATACGCAGCACTAACAGTAGATACAGTAGTTATACGGCCTAGTGTTAAAAAACGGGAGATAAAGAGAGTACCAATAATCCAACCCTGTTCACATAAGAAGAGATCCAAACAGCTAACAAATTATATGAAAAAGAAAACAAAACACCAACCATACAACCCTGTTGATGAAAGAAGAGATCAAAACAGCGAAAAAATAATATGAAAAAGGAAAAAAACAATTCCGTAACGTGTGTATAGGCCTTTAACCACGCACCGTCAACAACGAAGGAATGGCAGCCAATGAGCCAAGTTGGGCGTGTTGATCTTGTTTTTGGCAGAGAGGAAGGCGAATGGCGATGGTGTTCATGTTAGAAGCGTTAACCACCATGACCTTATTATCAGCCTTCCTTAGAAGGTCTCGTTAAGGCTCTCATTGGACTAGCAAAAGCCCAACCCCAGCTTCTACTCCGACTATGCGGTGTCCCCCTTGCCTCTGCTGCTGCAGCCGAGGTCCTACCATTCACCTCTGGGAGCCAGTAAGACGACGAGTATGACGAGGACATGCTAAAACCACGGAAGATGCCACCGCACCTAACCCTCTCTTTGATGCGTTGGTGTTCCTCTGCTGCCACATCACCGTGCATGACGATCTTGGGTTTGGTCTCTCTATGCGACTCCACTCTGCGAAGCGTGCAGTCACCGAACCCAGTAGATATCCTCTCAAGGAAGTCCCCAGAGAAGCTCCTGCTGCCGCATCCAACAGATCTGGATCTGGCAACCTTGCGGCCGGATGACAAGGCATGGCTACTGTTTGGACTCTCATTCTCGTCCCCGTAGTCGGCCTTCTTCGACGATGAGGGCACTGCTGCCTTGTCTTTTATTGCTGCTTGACTGGTGATGGCTGGGTGGATGGAAGGCTTGGAATCTCTGTCGCTGTGGCTTCTCCTTTTGGTGGAGAGGTGAAGGAAGGACCAGAAGCCTCTCTTGCATGGGTTGTAGTCGTCAGCGTCTAAGAACTGCCGATTGGGTGCAGTGGAAGACTTGCATCTATTGAGAACGACATTGGATTCACAAGGGGCCAAATCTGCCTTCTTGTGTTTCTTCTGGGCTAAGAGAAAGGGGATCCGATTGTGGTGGTGGTACCGACGATATTGGGTATTGTTGGAAGATAAGGAAGGACGGACTGAGACAGAGGAAGTAGAGGTGGTGGTGGCGGTAGTGAGGCCAAGGACGGCACCACCACCACCTTCGGAGGACCTGAAAGAGGAGGAGGAGGAGGAGGAAGTAGGGAGAGCGGGAAAAAAGGAGGGGTTGGAAGAGGACAGTAGCTTACCCAGCTTCTCTTGTAAGCAGAAGCCGCAGATGCCACCTGGATTGTTTCTGTAAGGATGGTCACTGCACTGCATCCCCTCCCCCATGTCGTCCACTGCTCCTCCACCACCACCCCCCCTGTCCATCACTATCATCTTAATCCCACCTCCCTCCCTCTCTCTCTAGGATCTAAAAGCTAAGCTCGATCCATCACAGGCTCACACTCACAGGTCTATACTTGCTAGTGTCCATTTGGTCTCTCTCTCTCTCTTGTGGTGTAGGTGGTGATGGAATCTAACAAAGCACTTTGTTGTGGCTACTGTAGTAATACTATCCACGGCCGTAGAGTCAGAGAGAAGCTGAACAAGGATATGAGATTGACCGATGGTAGACAGAGCGAGAAATGAATTGTTTGTTAAGTTGTAGGTTAGTAGGGCCTAGGGGTGGGGGGCAGGGTACCAAAATAAATGAATAAATATAATTAAATTATTTAAATATTAACAGGCATTGAAATTTTTATTTCATCAAATAAACAAACATAACGGGCATAGTCCCAACACCCCAAGGCCCCAACCCAATGGTGCTCGGATCTCCTACCCATAAGGGTTCACCGACCTTGAAGGCGAGATTCTATCCCAATTATCCGCTACAAACACTCGAAGACCTTACCAGTAAGGTAGCTGGCATTTTTTAAGATATAGATCGAAATTGGGACTTATAACAGGAGAGGGAGTAGTTGCACCAACAAGAGAGAAGAGAGGGTCGGAAATAGCACATGGAGGTTTGAATTATTTATTGCAGCGGGATAATCTAATATTCCATCGATTACCAAAAAATAATTATTTATTGTTCCATCAAGGCATCAACTATCAAATCGAGGACAGACGACGGGGACCTCAGCGACTACACCCTTTATATTTCTTGACGACACTGGCAGTAACGATACGCCACGTCATCTCCGGATCCGGTGCCTTTGGATGGATTCGAAGGGATTTTTTCTTCAAGTCCATTCATATGTTGACCGGATGCCGAGTTAGAACAAGCTTGCCAACGATTGTAATAAATAACCCTTTTCAAAAACCCTTTCACCATCCTCTTCCATCTTTTAACGACAGCAAATCAACGGAAAACCTGAGCTGTAGTTGCAGAGAGTAAAGTTTCAATTGCAAGCCTTTCACCGTTTGAATGGATCTACTGCTCACCAACAACATACATACAATTTTCTGGTTTGGGTTGGGCCGGAATGCTGGAATCGAAGGTGTGGGGTGACTCTAATGGGGACAGAGTAGACAGGACTGGTTAGAGATGGAGGTGTGGGGTGATTGTAGCTGGCCAGAGAGAAAGAGAGAGATTACCTAGGTTTACAGGTTGTTATTAGAGTAATGAGGAGGGCAGGAATGAAAGTGAGTTTCCTCTATAAGAGCTTAACAGCACTCTCAGGAATCAGGATATGATTGGCGTAAACATTCCCAGCTCCCGTGTTAGCAAATATGGAGATAAGAACGTGCTCTTTGACTTAAAGTGACCGGGATTCATACTGAACTCCCACCGGGTGCCTTTGAAGAACATATGCTTTGTGATAGTAGACGCCATCAAGTGTCCAAGAGGAACCACGGCTATCTGGGCCGACAGCCCCATCGGCTTCGTCCGTTGCCGGCACAGAGAGAGAGAGATGAATAATCCAGAACGAAAAACCTTGCATCGCTCAGTTGCCGTTTGGACAGAAAGCTATATAAGCCAATAAGGGTTCTTTCTTGGCGTCAACCGTTGGGACTTGGGAGATCAATATTTCTTCTCCTCACGACGGTTAGTCTTCTATTTAATACACCACAGCAACCATTTACGTGTTGAAATGTGATTGGAATTTAAGGGATTTACGGGGTAATAGTGTAATACTAACGTGTTCGGACTTCGGATCTCATACCCAAAGGATCCTTTCCTATAGCGGCTACCCACACATCACTACAGCCGCAAATCGAGAACATTTCCTGTATTTGCATGTTAACGATGTTTCTGATGTATAGCTGTAGTGTATTGTGGATATCCGGATTTGTAAAGGTTTCTTTACTTTTTTCCTTTAAACCAAACATATCCTAATGGTTTCGGGCCGGGTCAGGCGTAGTCCTAGGTCCAATTATACATTAACATTTGTATACATGTATACTTATATATACACAGAAATGTATAATTTTAGAGTGGGTTTATTAAGCAATATGAGCCCAAGCCCTAATTGAAGTGCATCAAATTATAGTGAGAGACGGGCTCGGGTTGGGAAGATCAGGTTTAGGCGTTAAGCCCAAATTTTAGTGTCAAGCTCGGGTTGACCATGAACCCGGTCCAACCCACCTGACTTGCACCTCTACTCTTCATCACTTGTCAACACTTTTTTTAAGCAATTGGCCCATGTTGTGAATACATAATCCATATTTGCTTCTCACTATGTGCTCCTCACACTGAGTGTAGCATTTTGTTTCCAATACACAATAAGATGTAGGGCTGTGTTGGGCTAGGTTAGGTCGGGTTGAGGCCAATTCTAACTAAATTCCTTTAACCTCGGGTTGGGCCCAACCCAACCTTCCCCCTATCCCTTAAAATCATGTAGAAATTGTTTTATTAATATTTGTTTATTGATTACAAATTTAAAAAAAAAAAGTTTGAAATGACTATAATTTATTGAGTTAGGACTTATAATAGATTTGTTATGGACATCAAGCTATGAGTGACAAGCAATAGAGGGGATAAGAATAAAATATTCAAAAAAAACATAAAATATATTATTAACGTCTTAAACTTTTCAATTAGGATTAAGTGAAGTCATTATCTTTAAAAAAAGACATGATAGTATGTGATGGGGCCCATAAAACTATTGTGCATCTAAATAAATCAATGTATTATATATGATGTGCACTATACAAGTCAGGTTTGGGTTGGATCAGGTTGCCTGAGGGTCAATCCTAATCTGACCCGAAATAAAAGTTGAGTTCATGATCTCACCCTAGGGATGTAAACAGATTAAGTCGAATTTGAATCAGGGTATATCCAAATCTGATCCGACATTGTTCATAGCAAATCCAATCTGAACTAAAGATCCAATTGGAACTAATAGCCCTCGATCTGAATTCGAATCCTATAGGTAAGTCGGATCTTTATATCTTGTTCAATCCAACTTTTTTTTATTTGACCAAATACAATCAGATCTTGAATTGAATTGGATATGATCCTATCAATTTGCACCCCTATGTATACCTAACCCTAACCCGATGTTTTCATGCCAAGTTAGGATTGGGTTCGGGCCAACCCGACCCAAGTTGCAACCTTAGTAGGATGTGGCTATGAGATCAGTGTGAGGAGTGGGCGGTGAAAAAGAGGTCTCAATTTGTGAGTACAAATGTCTTGATTGATTGATGAATAAGTTGTTGGACTCGGTTGGTAGGATTTTTGAGGGAATGGGAGACGATCTACCGCCGTTGTACTTATATAGAAGTTGCCTGGACATCATTTCATTTAGGGTAAAATAAAAAACCTCCCCTGAAGTTTCTGACAATCATAAAAAACTCTTCTATAGTTTCATTTTAGCAAAAATCTCCCCTCCATTTTTGATAAAATTAACAAATACCTCATTTCCGTCAATGACCAAAATGAAAAAAGTTAAAAAAGATGATATTTTTTCAAAATACCTATTTTACCCTTTCTAGAGTACTATTCATCTTCTTCCTCGTGAGAAGGCAAAGAGCAGAGAAACTGAGAGAGATCTTTTCCTTTTTTTTGTTTTATTTTTTCGTATTTATGGTGTAGCTTCGCTAGCCTAGGAGAAGGGACTGAAACTGAATGGAGAGAGTAAAGTGGGGAAGGAGTTATTTAATGGCTTGTTTTTATGAGGTAGTTCGTAAAACCAGGGGCGATTGTTTGTCTCTATTTTGTTTTGTCTATCTCTGGGTATTTGGGGAAAGGGTTTTTGTTGGATTTCTTTCGCTAAGCGACAAGAGAAGGCAAAGAGCAGAGAGACTGAGAGATCTTTTCCTTTTTTTTTTTGTTTTGTTTTTTTGTATTTGTGGTGTAGCTTCGCTAGCCTGGGAGAAGGGACTGAAACTGAATGGAGAGAGTAAAGTGGGGAAGGAGTTATTTAATGGCTTTTTTTTATGAGGTAGTTTGTGAAACCAGGAGCGATTTTAGAGGCGGTTGTCTGTCTCTGTTTTCTCGAACATTATTCCTCTTCTTCCCAGTTCGAACCCAGAGGCAGAGGCAGCGGCGGCATCCCCTCTAAATTCGATCTCTTCCTCTTCTTCGGCTTCTTGTTCTTCCCCTTTTTCCCTTTCTCTTTCCCATTAGCATCGATGTGCCTTCTCCCACCATCTTTCTCCCCCCGTCTGCGCTCCCTCTCTTTCTTCTCCATTTTTTTTCTTCTTCTTGTTCCTCCTTCCCCTGTCGGCGTCCATTTCCGTATCGCTTTCCATCACTGTTCTCTGATCATCACCATAGCCGCATTCATCGCATTTCCGTTTATATTTCTGGCTATCTCTCACTGTTTTCGATTGCCCTTCTCATCCCCCATCATACATAACTCGTCTTTTAGCATCTCGGCTCCCTAGATCTATAACGCAAAATCTGCTTCGAACGTCATTCGAACAGAGCCGGTCGCTACAAGTTTCGTTCCAAGTCGTTGCTCTCTCTCAGCTTCAGGTGACATCATATTGGAAAGATCTCCTTCTCTCGCCAATCTCCGATTTGTATCCTTTGAGAACCATTGCTATCCGAGATGGAAGTTAGCTCAAGCTCCCTATTGCAGAGTTAAGTTTCAGGCCAAAATCCCAGTCGAGGATCAACGTTGGTGCCACCATGGCTGGAACCGTTGCAGTCGATGACATTCTTCTCCATCTGCCAAACACACGGCGACACACCTCAGAGCGAATGCAACATGTATTGCGTCGATTGCAGCTGTGACGCATTCTGCTTCTATTGCCGGGGTCAAGGCACAACGATCATTGAGTAATTCAGGTGGGTTGGTTGGAGGGGGGAGTGCTCTGCCATTTTGCGTGAGAGGAAGAAGATGAATGGTATTCTATAAAGGGTAAAATAGGTATTTTGAAAAATATCATCTCTTTAACCTTTTCCGTCTTGGTTATTGACGGAAGGGAGGTATTTGTTAATTTTGTAAAAAATAGAGGGGAGGTTTTTTGCTAAAATGAAACTATAATGGAGGATTTTATAATTGTCAAAAACTTCAATTGGTGCCGTTTGTGGGAAGACGATAAAAAAACCTTTTTCACAATCAACAATTCATCTAAAATCAATGGCATCTTTCGGTCACGCTGGACAGAGCACTGAAATGAACGTCTCTAGGGGGCAACCTCAGTTTCCATCAGTGTGCATCGATCAGTTCACCATACCGCTCATTGCGGTTGGGATCCCCACACTGATCGTGGCACAAAGTGCTACACAGGTAAACGCCCCACTCCCTCTAGTCGTGGGCGCAACCTTCGCTAAACCGTCTGTGGTTCTCCTCGGAGTCAGGCAGTCCCAGTTCGATGACCTGGTACACTGCGTGCGGGCCATTCAGGTCCAAATGCAGTAGGTCCAGTAGTTCCAACAATACCAGCAACATGTGTTTTACCAGTACTACAAGCAGCGGTTCCTTCCACTACCGCAAAGCTAGCATCCAGTTCCACCCCGGCACCTAACAACTCAGCAGAACCGACCTCGTATGCAGAACACTCGATCTCCCCACCGAGGCGAGGAGACTTCCCAGGTCCCACTTCCTCTTGGGAGCTAAGTCTCACCTCGCGGCAGGAGAGACGGATAGATCACTCCGCTCGCTTCACAAGGCAATATCGGAAACAAGTCCGAAGACACACAACCCAATAGAGCTACTCTTCCTCGGCGTTCGCATCAGGAAGGTGGATCGCTCGCAGGTAACCGGTTCGGGGTTCTAGCCGCGAACTCAAGGCAAGGCCCTTCTATCCACGATAGTCAGCCTCAAAACCCAAGTAACCAAGAGCTACCTCGCAGCAGAGCAATACCAGACCATACAGAGGTTAGCAACACCAATGCCGAACCGATGAAAAAGCAGCAACGAAGGCGTCGCAAGGCACGCCGAACTTCAGCTTAGAACAACAGCTTGCGAAGCCAAACCAGCAGGAATAGGTTAAAGGTAAAGAAGAGGCGAGCTCGGTAGCCACAAAGACCGCCCCTTTACTCTCCGGGTCGTCCCCTCTGTCTCCCGAGCTCTTGGCGACCCCGATGCCCAAGGACTTCAAAATGCCTCCCCTCGACAAGTATGACGGATCTTTTGGTCCTAACAACCACATGGACTCCTTCCAGTCCCAGATGCATCTAGCTGGGGTTGACGAGTCCTGCATGTGCGTGGCTTTCTCCACCACATTCAAAGGAATAGTTCACACATGGTATCGGAACCTCGCGCCAGGATCGATCAAGAGTTGGGCGTAGTTCGTGGAGTTATTCACCTCGCACTTCATCACTAGCAAGAAGTGTCCGAGGTCCCAAGAGAGTCTCCTTAATGTATTTCAAAGAGAAAGGGAGTCCATCAGAAGCTACATCAAACGCTTCAATGACACATGCCTGTAGATCCCCGACCTAGACCCAGCGGTAAGACTCAAGGTAGAAACAAAGGGCATAACTCACAGGGAATTCAAATGGCATGTGGTAGCCAACAAGCTGAAAGATATCACAGAGTTCGTCAAGCTCGCCGACCAGTTCATTGGAACTGAGGAAGAGATGAACCTGAAGACCGATAATCCAACTAAGAAGAGAAAAAGAGATGGTGACAATACCGGTAACGACAGTCGTAAGAGAAGAAAGAGCAAGTCTCTGAGCAGGGGAGGAAACAAGTCTGGGAGCCGATCACCTTTGTGATCTCACAAGTTAGGTCAACGCTCTAGAACCCCACTTGTTGAAAGGACGAGCGACACACCCCTCAACGCTAAGCGAGGTGAGATTCTGATAGCCATCAAAGACTCTTCCTTTGTCAAGTGGCCACCTAGGTTGAGGGTAGATCTGACAACCAGAAACCGGAACATCTACTATCACTTTCATAGAGACCATGGACATAGTACAGAGAACTGTAGAAACCTCCGCGACGAGATAGAGGAGCTCATCCGCCATGGGTATTTAAAGAACTTCATCCAACGAGAAGGAAGAAGCCAAGCAGAACGACAGGGGGACTAGAGAAGAAATGCTCCCAAGTCCAGTAACAGACAGAACGAGCTGCCGCCATGGCAACTGCCCGAGGAGAGACCGATCTGCGGAGTAATCAATATGATTACTGGCGGGTCCATCATCGTAGGCTGCACTTCGACAGCAGGTCAAACTTTAGAAAGCGAGGAGCAGAACCCGCCAAAGCGACCTAGAATTGAAGAGCCGATCCACTTCACGAAGGATGATGTGCGCGGGATCCAGTATCCCCACGATGATGCCCTAGTGATAAAGCTGAGGCTCAACGATTTCGTAGTCAAGCGCATCCTAGTTGACTCAAGTAGCTCGACAGACATTCTGTTCAAGGACATCTTCGACAAGCTCCAGCTCTAGGAAAGAGACCTTAATCCAATGGATACCCCCCTAGTAGGCTTCAGCGGCGAGGAAGTCAGACCCCTAGGGCGAGTTTCAGTACCTGTGGAGATCGGCACGTGGCCGAACATAGCGAGGTTCGAGCACACGTTTCTAGTATTCACAACCCCATCTCCCTATAACACCATAGTAGGTCGGCTCATTACGCACGCCCTACATGTGGTAGTATCCACCTACTACCTAGCAATGAAGTTCCCTACGGACTGCGGAGTAGGGGTCGCGCGAGGAGATCCGCTCGAATCTCGCAAATGTTACGTAGCCGCCTGATGGTGCGCGATCTGGTCACTCCTAGCTGGCAACGGTTGTGCTCCTAGCTGGCGATGGACGAGATTCCTGTGAAGAAGAAGAAGGATCCCCGGGGAGCTCTCCCGGCGGGAATACTCCGATGCTTAAGTTAGTAGCAGGAAGAGAGTTGCAGAGCAGAGTAAAAATGAAAGGGCTAGAGTGCAGATCACGCAAGTTACCTTTGCTCTTGGGGGTCAGAGCTCTTATATACTGATATCCTGACAAATCAGGTATAACCGCCTCTGAATCTCTGCCGCAGCCGTTACTTGCCAGGGCTGAGTTGGTGGGCGCAGGCAACCATTGCAGAGTACGACCCTGCCAGACAAGGGACGCCTCTCAGGGTTGGCAGGCACGACGCCGCCTGGCGAGAGACGTGGGCACAGTCTCCAGATTTGGCAGGTATGGTTGTCAGGCAGATCTTCATGTGATATGTCGAGCTACTCTGCCCCGAGCTACCTTGTACCGAGCTACTCTGTGCCGAGCTACCTTGTGCCGAGGTGCTTCTACCCGAGGTGGCCTACTTGAGTTTGGTTGGGCGAGTTTATCCTTAGGAGGCTGCAGCTCAACCCGAAGTGCCTTGAGCTCGGGAGATTCCCGTCCTGGGAGAATCTTAGCTCGGACGCTTCCCACTTGGGAGAATCTTAGCTCGGGGTAATCGGAGTGTCAACTTGTAGCGAGCTGCCATGCTGGATCTAGGCAGATTGGTTGCGCTGAGTTGTCACTTATGCTGAGTTACGTCCACGTGTCCTCTTATGATGAGGTCGGGCCAAATCACCCTCCATCAATTGCCCCCCACTCCTCGAGCCAGGGGTCCTGACCTGGTGTGGGGAGTTCACGACGTGACGGGTRGATTTGGCTCGAAGTCTAGGCCGCCCCGTCAGATAGTTCGTCGGTCGGACCAGTTTGTTGCTCGGCTCAATCAAGGGTAACCCGAGTCGCATACAGTTCACGCACAGACGTTACGCGATCTATAGACTCCGCGGACGTCAAAAAACGCGCTAAACTGATTTCACCTCGGGGGTTGCACAACCGGTTTTTTTGAGAGCTGTTAGATCGTCTTGATCTCAACCGTTGAATCTCGGACATAGTGGCTATAAATAAGGGGGGACCCCAGTCATTTTCTCCGCCATAACTTCACCATCGTTCATCTTGAGAACGCGACTAAGTTCCTCAGCTCGGGTTTTCCAGTTCGTTAGTCTTCCTAGCTCGGTCATTTTCCCTTGGTGAGTGTCCTTAGTCTCTCCTTTTCAGTTCGTAGTTCGCTTCTCTTCTTTGTTCATTTTCAGCTCGTAGCTATGTCAAACCATAGCTTTGACAGTCTCTTAGATGAGCCCGAGGTGGGTGCCTCGACTCAAGTAGGTGCCTCCGAGGCACAATCAGTCTACGAGGTGCGGGAGACCTTGGATAACTCGGCGTCCACCTCTCATCGAGGTCGGATACCGGACAAGTTCGACCCTTCTACTATGACCGTAGACAAACTCAGGGCCCTATAGTTCGGTATAACCTTCCTATGGAGTATACCTACCACCTTCTAGTGGGAGACTTCCCTTGGGAACACGGTCACGGCGAGATCATGATTTTCGGGGAACAGCTCACGGCCGGACTCCGCCTTCCACTGCACCCCCTACTTATTGAAGTGTTAAATCACTTCAACGTCACTATAGATCAACTCCACCCGAACTCTATCCGGAACGTGGTCGGTACCATTTCCCTCTGTTTTGACTACGCCCTTCCTCTTGACCTCGACATTTTCTCCTCCATCCTCTCCATAAAGAAGAATGCCTCTAGCGTTCTCCCTTAGCACGGGCGGACCAACTACCTGTCCCCCCGCCCGGGCATCAAGTTGTTACACGAGCTTCCCAACAAAATCCCGGCCTGGAAACGGGATTACTTTGTAGTTCGCAACCCTGTTCGGTGGCCTTTCCCTACTCAGTGGAGGGTGGCCGTTCAGGACTCCAGCATTATGCTGGACCGGGATACAAGGGAGACGCTCCAGTCTTGGGCGGAGCTCGACTTCGATTACAAGAACTACCTTGCCGAGGACAAGCTCATTCAGGCCAGTCTGAGTCCTGGTTGGTCACCTTGTTTTAGAGTTAGTACTTTACCTCARTAGCWGGCACTTTTTGGTAGCATCACTRWTGTCGAGCTTTGTTGTAGGACCCTTGGAGCAACTTAGTGCAGAAAGGCTCTTTGGAAAGATGAAAGGAAGGAAGAAGCGAGCTGCTAAGAGAGCTCGCATTGAACCTCCACGGGCTCCTACTCCCGAGCTCAAACAGCCTGCTGATGCTCCTCCGGTGATTGACTTGGAGGATTCGAAGAACCTCCCACCTTGGGAGCCCGAGACGATTGTGGAGCCCGTTCCTGAGACAACTGCGGAGCCTGCTCCCAAGACCACTGTAGAGCCCGCTCCCATGCCTGAGACTACCTCGGGGAGTGAAGGAACAGCTCGGAGCATCCTGAACCCATAGTACAGCCTTTGGAAGAGCAAAGGGGTTGCGTGTGTCGAGGTGGTCTTTGATTGGGCTAAGCTATCGCCTGCTCAGCTCGGAGCTCTAGCAGCTACCCACGACATGGTGGTAAGTCTTGTTTAAACTTCCATTTTTGCATTTGTAGCCTTACCGATGCTAACTAGCATTCTTGGCAGGTGAACAACGCCGTGCACGCCCTGACCTACTAGTCTGAGCAGCACTTAAAGCGAGCTCTGGCTATCGAAGACTTAGCCCGCGTGGCTCACACTGATCTGAAGCTAGCTCGCGGTCAAATCCACCAGTTGGAGAGCGATGCCATAGCTCAGAAAAACTACATTCAGGCGCTGATGTTGGAGAAGGAGGGGTGGCTGTGCGAGAAGGAGGAGCTGCTGCGCAAGGTGGAAAACCTTGAGGCATATAAGGGGGCTTAAAGCATGAGGTTTTCCACCTTGCGCAGCAGCTCCTCCTTATCCCGCAGCCACCCCTCCTTCTCCGACATCAACGCTTGAATGTAGTTTTTCTGAGCTATGGCATTGCTCTCCAACTGGTGGATTTGACCGCGAGCTAGMTTCAGATCGGTGTCAGCCGCGCAGGCTGAGTCTTCGGTAGCCAGAGCTCAGAACCTCGAAGCCGACGTCAAGGAACGAACTGAAATTCTCCTTGGCGCCATGGAGGAGGCCAAAGTCGAGGCTGTCCAGGACTACATCAAATCGGAGGAGTTCGACGAGGTGTTGGTGGAGGCCTACCGCAAAGGCTTCATGCTCAGCAGGTGGCTGATAAAGCGCGAGTTCCCGCATCTTGATGTAAGCACCATTACCACCTTGCGAATCACGGGAGAGGTAGCCCAGCAAGCCGCTGAAGACCCAGACTCTGAGGAGGAGGGCGACGAAGACATCAGGGAGGTTGACGCTGCCGACTAGGCTGGCACTTCTGCGGAGACTTCAGGCAAGAATGATAAGTCCCTTAATTAGTTCGTGCGGTCCTTGTACTTTGAGCCTGCAAGCTCAGTTTTTTCTTTCTTTTCTTTCCCCTTTGTAACAAACTTTTTGTAATGAAATATATCTTTGTAATGAAAATACACTTTGCTAAGTGCTGTGCAATTTACTTTATTTTCCGAAGTGATTATTTTACCCCAAACTGTTAAGCGTGATTATTTTACCCCGAACTGTTAAGCTATCGTGCTAAATACCCAAAGTGGGGGTTTCTCGACTATCGTCACCCCGAACTGTCTCCCAGTACTTAGTAGGGGTAATTTTATGATGTACACCGAGGTGAGCAACACAGTAGGGTATATGCTCGACCTGTCTGCACTCGGGTTACTTAAGTTGACATCGGTTGTCCCTAATGGGTTCAACCTGTTGTATGCCGGGCGGGCTATGCATCATAAGGTTCATACTCGAGCTGCCTGCGCCTTAGGCATTACAAGTACTTTGCCTATGCCGATGAGGTGACTAGGTCTTATACGATGCCGATGTCTTTCGTTAGCTCGGTGTTTTATCCCTTAGGCTGGGGGAGCGACTTATAGTCCACTCTCCTGGAGTTC